CCCCCAGTGCATTAGCACCAATATCGCGGGGTATCTTTTTGTTGAAAGCCCAGAAATGCCTGGTAACGGAATATTAAGTGTTTTAATAATGTTTTTAGCAAAAATTGGCTATATTTTCAGTGGGAAAACAATCAAAAATTATAAGAATTTTTTATACAAATTTTGGGTCGAAAATCGGCCAGTTTTCGTAAAAAAACCCCATATTTTGTGTATTTTTAATCCCAATTTGTAAACTTCTTGCGTTTAGGAGCAGTAAGAAACGCTTTAAAAGCACTTCCTAGACTTTTACAGTCTACAAAAAAACCCTAGTCCACCGCCCGGCACCCCCACCAACACATCTGGCCCCCGGCGATACGCCCGTAATTATTTTGCGGGCCACGTAGTGTATGTAGCCGAAGGGCACATTGGCCCCTAGTGCGTGCCCTTAGACTAGGGCCCTCACTCGGCCCCCCGGGAGATGTTTATAAATTGACAGATCAGCTGGGGGGCAGACATTGCCGGGGCGCCGTTGGCTTGGGTTGCTTGCTGTGGCAGTTCACACCGGAATGGCTGGCCGGGTGGCTGTCGCCATCCGCCGTAAAATATGAGCGATCGGCGAGCGTAATTAGGAGCCCAGCGGCGTGAATGAATTGCGAAATCTGGAGGCGCTAACAGCGAAGAGCGAAAGATTTTCAAGCGCGCAGTCGGTAAGGATGCGCAGTGTCGTAAAACGTAGGTCACTATAATTTAGCAGCTTTTGCATTATCGGGGGGGGGGGCGAGATCCACCTAACTCTATTAAAAACTTAAAAAATGGTTTTTCCACGAATTTTAAATTTTTTGAAACTGTGAATGTTTTTAAAGAGCTTTTTACTTGAATTTTTGTTAAATGTTATTAAAAAAAATATTAAAATACCGTTTACTAGGGATATCTGGTCTCCTAGGTAAGAAAATCCAGCCTTCCTCGGCGGTTTCGAAAGCGTTTTTCGCCTTTTTCGTTCTTAGGCAATATCGGCGGGGGGGTCAAGAAATGCTTATTAACTAGTCGCATTTTATTAGTGCTTTAGTAAAATTAACTATATTTGAAGTGGAAAAGCAATTAAAAACCTGGAAATTGTCGAAATTTGAATAGAGTAAACGACATTTTTTGTATTCACACCCCAATAAACTCAGCCCGGCCTTCCGCCAGAAACCCTGCTAGCCAGCCCTACACCTCCTGCGCAAACATTTACCCCAATTTTACGAGCACATCAAACGGTGAGCTCGAGCTTCCAGACCTCGGGGTTTGGTCCCCAATCCCCCGGCTGTGGGCCTTCGATTTCGGATCGCCGTTAGGTGATGGTCCCTGGCCCCCCAAGGCAGGAGAGTATGGGCCCTAAGCATCTCTAAAGGCCCAATCGAGAGGGCCCAGTGTAATATGGGGCTCTCGGACTGATGGGGAAGAGACCCCCACCAGGCACAGCCACCCTGCCCCAACACGGCCCAGCGGCAACCGGCAAAAGAAGCCGATCCCCTGGTTCGGGGTATTCCCCCAGCACTACTCGCAAAAAACGGCTCGAAAAACGGAAGAAATGTTGCCAAGCATTTGGTGATGATCTGACAGTAGCTTCTCAAGAAAGGTTGAGGAAGGGGCACTTAACTGTTAGCGGGGGGGGGCAAAACAAAACGCAGGAAAACGGAAAATTGCATTTTTATACCGTTTTTAGTAGCTTTTGATTGCGAAAAAGCTATAAAAACTATTGTAACATTTTGATAAATTTAAATTTTTGACCTACTTGACCATTGTTCATAAATTTTTGCCCTGGGACTCAAAATACTGGATAATTTAAACGCTTTTTCCGCTTTTTGGATAAAAATAACATTGTAAAATCCTACAAAAAAGTTTTCCAGTCCGTTATACTGTAATGTACGGGATGGCTAAAGAAAAATTGGTCTCCCCCGTTAACAGTCCAGTACCGAGAAAGGTACGGAAATCACTGAAAAGTCGTGATGTGGAAGGGCACATAGGTGTGCATTTAGGAACGAAGCGTTATCAAAGTCGGCTACAACGAGCTACTTTGAACGCAGGGGCTTTGTGCGATAATGGCATTTAGAAGCGCCTTTTTTAATTAACTCTGTTTAAACACCTCAACTTTAATTTCCACCCTCCTATCCATTCGCGGCCTCGTAAATGCTTATAAATTCGCGGCGCCGTACTCCAGCCGGAATTTGAGACATCTTTTGGGCCAGGCGTCGCGAAAAACAGGCGAGAGAGGGCGCGTTTTAGTGAGCAGGGGGCTTCGGGGGACAGCTGCTGCCCGGCTGGCCCTCGGAGAGTACAGTAGGCGCGGGCAACGCGGGGCTCCTCTGGACGTGCCGGTGTCTTTCTGGCTCTTTTTTGGGGCGGACAGACAAGTGCCGCCTTGGCGAGCTGACATATTGTTTGATGGTCGATCAGTATTGGGTGAGTGGGGGGTTGGTCGAGAAGTGAGCTGTGACAACGGCCCGGTTGGTGTTGCAGAGAACCGAGAGGAATGTTTACGAAAATGACGAATAGACGGAGCTCGTAAGCAGAAAGTTTACCTTCTAGCTAATCCGTAACCTGTTCCTAGGGTTGTTCCTAAGCCAAGCCTAAACCCAAGCCCGAGCCCAAGCCTCAGCCTAAGCTTAAGCCTAAGCCTACGCTTAACCCTTAGCCTAAGCTTAAAGGGGCTCAGAAGTCAAAATTCGTGCGTGCGGGGATTGAACCTACGGGTCAATAAACGAAACGGTCACTGCCGAGAAGTGCCAAAAAAGCGATTTGATTGCGAAAAACGTAAAATGTTTGAGAAAAACCGAATTCCTTTTGGGGCAAAAACGAAATTTTGAGTGCGCGGCGATTCCATGTCGTAATGCCTTGTAAGGCACCCAATCTCTCGATCTCGGTGATTCTCTGATCAATTTTCATAATTTAAAAGTCTGGAATGATCAAAATTCGTTGAGGATTCCAAAAATAGTATCAGAATTGTGAAATTCAAGCGTTTTCGCGTCCAAACAGGGGCAAAAGATCATGCGGCGCGGTCTCTCGATCTGGGCGAAAGCCGAAGCCTAAATCTAGGCCAAGCCTAAGTCAAGCCTAAAGCTAAGTAAGCCAAACCTAAGCCTACGTCTGAGCGGATCCTAAGCCAAGCCTAAGCCCAATCCCATCTCTTTAATGCCCCCATCCAATTTTTAGTGCCCCTGGCCACCATTTGGTGACTAATTTCACGGTGATTGAGCCCCTCACTGCTTCTCCCCCCTAGCAAATGACCTTTTGGCCAAGGGGGAGGGGCCAACGCAGCGGAAGTGGCAAGAGGAGCAAGAGCCCCTGCTGCTCCTCCTGGCCCCTCGGCTTTCCCCGAGCCAGAGTCCCGTCTCCCCCCACCGACGACTACTCCCACCGATGCGCTCTCTGCTGGCCATCGGCCTGATCGGCCTCCTATTCGTCGCCGGCCTCGACGCCGCCAAGAAGGTCGGTATCGCGTGCTCAATTCTGGGTCCTTGCTGCGGCTCAATTTGCATTTTTAGCTTCTATCTCTTTTTGGAACAAAATATTCGAATTTCGATATTTTAAGCCGATTTTAATCGTACTAATTTTCCTAATAAAACCAGCGCTCTGATTTTTAATTTAATAGAATTTTATTTAACTTAATCAACAGGCCCAAATACCCATTTTTAGCACAAAATTTGATTAAACATTCAAAAAGCCATAGCTGGTGTTCCAGAACCCTATATTTGTGAGGTAAAAATTCTCTTTTTTAGGCGAAGAAGGGCAATGACTGGGATGAGCTCGAGTCCCTGCTCGAGGACATCGACGAGGACAAGAAGACGGTGAAGACCCAGCCCAAGGAGAAGGAGCCCCACGTCAAGCGCCCGAGGCCCAACCAGGAGAAGAAGGGTGAGCATGATATCAAAAATTTGACGGCCTCAGGCTTAGGCTTCGTTCGGCTTAGGCCTAGGCTTCGGCGTAGGCTTAGACTTGGGCTCAGGCTTAGGCTTGATGGACTTAGACTTATGCTTAGGATTGGCTTAAGCCTAGCTTCGGCTCGGGCTTAGACTTAGGCCTAGGTTAGGTTTAGGCTTATGCTAGGCTCAGACTTATGCTAGGCTCAGGCTTAGGCTCAGGCTTAGGTTTAGGCTTGGCTTAAGCTTATTGTTAGGCTCAGCCAAGATTGGGATTAGGCTTAGGCTTAGAAGTTTAGGTTATGGCTTAGGCTTGGGCTTAGCTCGGGCTTAGGCTTAGACTTCGGTGAACGTTTATGATTTGGCTTCCCAGGATGTAAAAAATATAAAAACGTTTTTAGTCCCTGAGAAGAGCCCGTGCGAGGACCACGTCTGCGGATGGGGAAAGGTGCGTTAAAGCGATTTTTTAAATGTTTGTATCTTCTAAATATCTTTATTTCTTTTTCTAGGAATGCGTGGTTGACAAGAAGGGCGAACCGACCTGCGAGTGCATCGCCAAGTGCCCCGAGCTTGACGGAGACCCGATGGACAAGGTCGCAGCTTGATCCCTATTTTTCTGTCATTAAAAACATTATTTATATAACATTTTTTTGTTTCATTTCATTTTTATGCAACCCTTTCAGGTGTGCGCGAACAACAACGAGACGTTCGTCTCCCTGTGCGACCTGTACCGCGAGCGATGCCTGTGCAAGAAGAAGAGCTCCGACTGCGAGAAGCACTCCCACGCCAAGGTCGGGCATTTTTTCGCGGAGCTTTTGCATTATCGGGGGGGGCGAACTTTTTCGGAATCCAATTTTCTATGTAAAAATATAGGGGAGCATTTCAAACTTGTTTTTTTTACTATTTTTCAACTTAAAAACTTCTCCCATTTTTTATTCAGAAAAATGACAACATGAAGTGGCCGATTTTTGACCGAATTTTAGGTTTTTAAAAAGTGTTTCAAGTGTTCAAAATTTTTAATGCAAGAAGATATGGATTTATCGACAAAAAACACACAATTTTGACGGGTTTTAGGTAGTTTCTTGATTGAAATAAATTAATTTGAAAGATTTAACCTTTCAAATTAATAGAGATTTGTTTCTAGACATTTCTGAATTAGCTCTTTTGATTGATGTTGGAACATAAAAAAAATATTGCTTTAGCTTTCTCACTTTTTTCCATAAATATTTTAGTTTTTAGTTCTACTAAAAACTGTGACTCTCATTAAATTGTTAGATTTTGAAATTTCCGTCTCCAGGTCCACCTCGAGTACCTCGGCGAGTGCAAGCAGCTCGAAGAGTGCACCACCGAGCATATGGCCCAGTTCCCCGAGAGGATGTCTGACTGGCTCTTCCAGGTAGATTTTCGTTTAGAGGCTTTCTAAGCATGACTGGAGGGAAACCACCCTTACCTATCAATTCTCAGGTGATGCGTGAGCTGAAGAAGAGGCGCGAGCTGCACAAGCTCGAGTGGGAGGAGCTGCTCCAGGAGGCCGAGGCCGATGACGACAAGAAGCACGTCTACCCGGTCATCTGGAAGTTCTGCGACCTTGACGTCAAGCCCCACGATAAGGTGCGTTTTAAAAGTTGGGCTTTCTTTTAGCGATTTTCCGTTTTGTTAACATGGATTGTGGCTTTTGGAGCGGTTTATTTGCTGTATCTCGGCTCGGTTTTGTGCTACAGGGCTGTCAAGTAAACCAAAATACTCGCCAGATCAAGACGAACATTTTGGTATACTTTACATACTTGTAGATGAGCAGGGAGCCTAGATATCGAACGTTTAGTGCAGTCCCGCAGCGCCAGTCCGCATCTTTTGGAACTCGGCTACCATTTTTGCTAAAAAAACTTGTAAATTATACCAAGATGTTCCCCTTTTTCTGTATAGTACGAAATCATTAAATTTTTAGTCAAAAAATAGCGGAAAACAAAAATATTTTGAGTGAAAAGCCGAAATCCTTGCTGCACTCTTACCCAAATTATCTTTTTCAGGAAGTCTCCCACCACGAGCTGATCCCGATCACCGCCCCCGTCATCCCGATGGAGTCGTGCATCAAGCCATTCCTCGAGGGATGCGACACCGACAACAACGGCGCCATCTCCATCAAGGAGTGGGGCAAGTGCCTCGGACTCAAGGACGGTGGGTCGAGCTTTTAAATTAGCTTTAGCTAGGTATTTATTTGGATTTCATTCTAACATAAAGAGGAGGTAAACTAGCAGAAAATCTTTGGGAAATACGCTTGCAAACAGAAAACAAGCAGTTATAATAATTTTGGAGCAAGAGCTCCGCGGCTCTTGCTCAATTCGACCCTGCTGAGGTCAACCTCATCAAAATCAGAGTTTAAAATTTACATTTCAACGGGTGAAAAACCATTATTTGCAATTTGGTTCCAAAAACGGGCATATTGCACGATTTTTGTGGAGATCGACCAGGAGAAGGAGCACGAGCTCCACGGCACTTTCTCAATTCGACGCTGATGAGGTCAAACACATCAAAATCAGAGCTTAAGGGGATGCCGACGGCATAGTCAATCGGTTACGCGCGGAAAAGAAAATGTCTCTGCGCCTCTCCCCTGGGCGCGCTCTCTCCCCTGTTGGCTACTTGCCAATTTGTTGATGAGGGGGGGATCGACACATGCCGTCGGCAGCCCTTTAAAAATGATACCTAGTCGAAAAAAATGATTTTGGTAATTTGGCCGCCAAAAATGGCATATTGCACGATTTTCGACATAGTGAGCCAGGTGGCGCGCGAGTGGGTAGCCGGAATTTTGGAAATGGTGGATTTTCAAGCGGTAGTAAAAAAAAGAAAAATGATAATATTTACGGAAATAAATTACGTAGAGCAAAATGCTACTAAAAATCTTGAAATTTTTCAGGTGAGATCCAGGAGCGTTGCTAAACCCATCGCCCTCCCCCTTCCACCATCAACATCATCTCATTTTTCATCGCACTTTCAACACTGCCACCCAATAACCCCCGAAAGAATTCAGTAGTGCCATATCTCCACCTTCTTGCCAACCCCTTGTGTCTTATTTATCTGTGCCTTCTTCGCTTTGAAATCTCCTCCTCTTCCTCTTCTTGGTGCCACTTATTTATAAATAGTTAGAAAACACAATTTGTGTATGAAATACAGGCAAAAATAGTTCTAAACGAACAGAAAAGGTTATAAAACTAGAAAACTAGGAGCTTGCGCAAGATCGGTGGGGGGAATAAATTTTTTCGCACAGGTTTAAAAAATTGTCATTAACATAATAGCAGAAATTTTAATACTGTTTCTATAAAAAATTCATTATTTTTAACTGCGAAAATACATCAAAAACTCAAAAAAAAATTAATATTTAAATTTTGGTAGAAAAATCGATATTTCTATATTTTTTTAATGAAAATCTCTAGATTCTGCGTTTTTATTAGTAAAAATATTGTCGAAACACTTATTATCAGAAAAATTCGATCCTAAGGAAGATATGACCCCTCCCCCCCCGATAATGCCGAAGAACTGAAAATCGTGATAATATGCATAATATGGCTAAATTTGCATAATAAAATTTACGGCTATTAGCATGGGTAATCCCGTACAAATTGCACCACTCTGGAAATCCCCAAAGTTTACCAACATTTCCTTTTCTAGAGAGTGGGTTTTTACCAATTATTTTATCCCTTTTTCGACGTTCCAGCGGCGTCGATATTTTGAACTGTTCTTCGAGGGATTATGGCAGCTTATAACCCGGACCCGATCCTCGGCAAGTTGATGACCATCGGCAAGGCCGACACCGGGCTCAGCAAGATCGTCAGCGAGCAGGTACGACGCTGTACTCCTTCCCTACGACAGCATTTTAGGAAATTGTCGACCTGTGCGTGGCCTCGTACAACTTGTTCATGTCGCAGCCGGTTTGCCTCGAGATCTCGGCCCCGGTGACGATCGCCGGTACGTCATCAAGCTGTTCAAAGGCGGTGATGCCGTTTCGCCTGTATCTCGGCTTCCCGTTGTCATACAGGGGTGTAAAGTA